AGTTGAAGAAGACCCCTATTGAAGAGTACTCATATGGTTTCCCAAGATACTAGGAACAAGTGCATCGCTTCTAGTAACAAGTGCCTTACTAGTAGTAACAAGAAGCTATTAGTTAATTTATTTTTACTTAATTCTAATAGCTTCTTGTTACGACTAGTAAGGCACCTGTTACTACTAGCGATGCACTTGTTCCTAATAGCTTCTTGTTCCTAAAAACCTCTAGTATATGTGAAATACATGGAGGGCACATCTTTGGGATTGCCAGCGAAGGCTTAAGTGACCTCCAAAAGGGACCCGTCACCTTTGGGTACCCAGGTGGGATAGTCGAACTAGGGGTTCTTCAACCTCTGTTGGTGTCCAAGACCTGCTAGTTTACATTCACATTTAGCCCTTCGAAGTCTTTCTCATCATCTTAACAGCATGCCTGGCCGCGACTGTTGTGGTTTCGCGGTTTGGAGGGTTCTGTGGTGAGCTGGCGGATCTGCAGGTTAATTAGATTGAAGGATTGCAGTTGGACGGGGGGGGTGCATGGCCCATTCAGGGTGGAGGCCATCATCGGGACCGAGATAAACACTGCTCCTCTCCAGCTTCCGTGGAGACTACGTGGCCCCAAGTCGACCCACTTCCAGCATGACACGGTCGCCGTCCCCAATTTCTTCCGAGGCCCCGCCATTAGTGGTTCTCATTGGTTCTCTTAACCAGGGGGTCCAGAACATGGTGGTAAATCAATGGTCCGAGCTTAGGAATACATCATTTGGTAGAACCTGGTCCTCAACACCTCCTTGAGTTGTGTTTGTATATCAGGGCCTCCAGTGAAATGAGAACAGACTGACCTGTAGGGACTGGTATAATTGTTTGTACAATACATACCTAATGCACCTAATACCTGTCCTATCATGGCCGATGTGGTATACCCATATATTGGTTGTTTACCGAGTCTCCCTTCTTTTCATCAACTATATAATCAAGGCAGGAAAAGGCCATTCATGCTCCCTTCAAATCTGCAACAATCCATCGGATTGATCTGCATAATTAACCGTCACGTGGGTGGTTGAAAAGGGGTGAATGTACCAGTGTAGTGTCCGGCTGCTTACACTCAAACACAGTCAACGCATGCTCTGTCCAGTGGCTATAGCCCAACTCAAAGCCCACCACGGCATACTCTGCCAGGATGGAGTTTCTTGCAATGAAGTTCTCCTGCGCTCAAATCGGAGCCAAGCATGGTGCCCAGCAAGTCGAAAGCATGGATTGAACCTTTGGAAGATGATGGCATATGATGAAGTTTCCACTTGGCAGCGGCAAAACAAGCAGCAAACCAACTCGCAGATTCCTCATCACATTTCAATCTGTACGGCATGGTTGCAAACAATCCCAGCAGCTCTATCCCAGCTGCCCAACCAAACAAAGTAGGCGCGTCCCACCGCAAACCCTTGCTTCTCAAATTTCACCCAGCCCACTTGAAGAGAGCTTGAAGACCCAAGGTAGTAAAACCCCAGGTAGGATTTCACCTCGCAAAAAATGCCGACCCCAATGTAGACCCATAGACTTAGAGCTTGTACCATCCAAATGGGTCTATAGACCCATATCAAGAGCTTGCACCATCATGAATTGGTCTAAGTCTAGGCCTCGCTCCGGTCGGAACAACCACAGGATCGGTCCATCGCTCGCCGCTCTTTTCTTCGAAGCGCGGCTGGACGCGGCGGCATGGGGTCCACTCAGAGTTCCACCCGCAGGATCTGCGAGACCTAGTCCACTGGGCTTCGGGTGTGGTTCACCGTGAGTCGCTTGGGGGGGTGAAGTCCACATCCAGTTATTGGTATGTTTGGTTTGGTTTGGCTGGGGGCAATTGTAGAATTGTTGTATTTTCCTGTTGTTTTTAAATAATGCGTGTTTTAGAAGGGGTTGGAGTAGAAAGTCTTGTAGCATGGGGTGACTTTTTTATTTGTGCAGTCACTTTTTCTTCAACTTCATTCCGTAGCTGCTTGGCTCTGAAAGAGATCGCTGCCTGGGTTACCTCCAATAGATCGCCCCCAAGATTATTAGGTAACCCAGGCAGCGATCTCTTTCAGAGCCAAGCAGCTACGGAATGAAGTTGAAGAAAAAGTGACTGCAAAAAGAAGAAGTGACTCCATGCTACAAGACTTGCTGCTCCAAGCCCCAAGAAGAAAGGGTGACCTCCCAGGCGCTCTCAGTTTGAGAATTGGTAGCAAAGCGGAAGCAACCACAAAAATGC